CGGGAGGGAGGGAGGGAGGGAGGGAGGGACACAGAAGAGTGAAGTTTGAGAGGGGGGCACGGGAGCGGGGAAGACTAAAGACATGAGCAGCAGATGAACTTTAGACGGTGAACAGTGAACGTGCTCGGGCGGGGCGGGGCGGGCCTGCGGGAGCAAAGCTTGAGCGGAGCGGACTATTATGAGACGGCCGCCGTAAACATCGCATTGTGGTGAACGTTTTCCTGCCAAGCTTTACTCGGCCCGCCGCGCCCCGCCACGCCCCGCCGCGCCCCGCCGCGCCCCGCCGCGCCTCGCCGGCACGTCCTCTGGCCTCTGGCGCTCCCTGGCAGCCCCCGCGGTAGTTAGGAGAGAAAAGCTCGAGCCTTGTGTCAGGCCGGGGCGGGCGGGCCGGACGGGGCGGCCAAGCCTGTCTCTGGCGACAAAAATGTTACCCTTGGCTTAATGAGTCTGTCTGAAGAGCACGTGCCACCGCGCGCCACGCAAAGGTCTTCCGCATCGGCGGTGCATTGGTGTCAAGAAAAGGGAACGCGAGCAACGGAATCAGATATCGACGGTCGATTTCGGTTTTGGGTGGCGGTTCCCCTGCGCCCCCCGACCCCTCCCTTCCTCCCGGACGTCGGTCTACCGTACCTTCAACTGGTTGACAGCCTGGCTGGCGGACTGAGTGAACAGCGGGCGTGTCTGTGTGTGTGCTCACCTTGGGGGCGGCCCCTCTGGGGTTGGGGTTAATGTACAGGGATTCTGTCCTCTTGGGCTGCGCCGGCGAGGGGATGATGTCCTGGCCGAGGTTCCTCTTCCGCAGCAGTACGTCCTCGAACGGCTGCTCGGTGGAGGGCACCGCGTAGGGCGCGGGCGCCGCCATGGGCTGGTGGGCGACGGCCTGGCCCAGCGAGCCGCGCTGGTGGCCCAGCCCCTGGCTCAGCCCCTGCGCGCCCGCCCCCACCGCCGAGCCGTTGCTGCCGCCGCCGGGGGCGGGCGTCGTCCCCCGGGCGCTGGACCCGGCGCGCTGCGTCCTGTCGCACAGAGAGGGGCGTGAGACGGTGAAGGATGTAGAACACCCTGGGGTGCCGTTTGGGGGGTTTCCCCTTCAATATATTATGCGCATTGCGCTCAATCTCAAGAACGGAAGTTGGAATGGGGACAAGATGAAAAGAAGTTGCGAACGATCAGGACGATTTGTTTTCTGATGATAGTGACATGGAACTTTGTTCGTCACGCATTCGTCTTTGCATCTCCTAACCATTCGTTCTCGCGGCTTTTGAGTTCCTTCAAGTATACTAGCAATAGAGCATTCCGGTAAAGCTAACAAAATGCGAAAGAATGTGGGGAAGAAGGAAACGAACGTCGCTATGCTTTAACATAGTGACTTCCGACTTTTCTTGTTCCATGCATTCTTCTAAATTTCAGTTTTACCGAAAGGCTTTATTGGCAATTCTCACACAACCCACCAGTGGTTTTTCCCTGGCCGATGGTCAGTTTAACAGCACCGATGATCTTGTGTCGAAGCTTCACACTGGCTAAAGCACTGTCCACATATTCCAACGTATCGGACTCACCCGTGCCCTTCCTACCTTACTGGCGAATCCACTCACCTGTCCAAGATCTCGGGGGGCGCGTTCTTGTCCACGCTGGGCTGCCTGGACCCGGAGGAGAGCCGGGCCGCGCCCATGGCGGCCCTGGAGTAGCGGTCCACGGACGAGTCCCTGCTCGGCGGGCGCTTGTACTGGTCGAAGTGGTCGGACATGGCCTGCTGGAAGTTGTAGGCGGGGCTGTCGTGCGACATGGAGCTGACGAGGCGCGAGTTGCGCCGCAGCGAGGTGCGCCGGCCGCCGACCGAGCCGCCGCCGGTGGACATGTTGTCGCCGTCCTGGTGCAGCGGCGCGTGGCCCATGCTCATGCCGGGCCCCATCTGGCCCAGGCCCTGCGCGAGGCCCTGGGTGGCCTGGCCGAGCCCGAGCGACACGCCGCTCACTGCGGACAAGAAAGCACGCGGGGTCAGTCAAGTGTGAGTGTACGGCACTAACGGTTAAGCGGGGAAGCGAAGGGAGGCACCCACTCTGCTGGAAGTTCGGCATCGCGTTGGCCTCGGGGAGAGGGGTGGGCGGGGTGATGGTGGACTGGTACTGCGGCTGCAGGTTGTACTGCTGGTTGTACGACTGCTGCATCTGCTGCTGCTGCTGCAGCTGTTGCTGCAGCTGGTTGTGCAAGTGCTGCGTCTGCAGCTGCTGCTGAAGGAGTTGTTGTTGCTGCTGTTGCTGCTGCTGCGCCTGGGCCTGCGCCTGCTGCTGCTGCTGCTGCGCCTGCTGCTGTTGCTGAGCGTGCAGCTGCTGCTGCTGCTGAGTCGGCGCGTGGTTCATGTGGTCGATACTGCCCGTCTTGGTGAGGATCGACTTGCCCGGGACGGCGTCCTCGGGCGGAGGGCGGAACTTGGCCGTGTCCTTGCCTATTCGGTCGAGACCTGCGCACGGAAAGAAACCAGTGGGGTGGGTTAAGGCGAATCTGAGGAATGGGCGCGAGGCTCCAGAAATATACAACGCCCTGGCAGTTTGTCGTGTTCTGACAGGGCTTCCCCGTCCGTGCCGAGGCCGTACCTGGCTGATTGAAGTCCGGCGCGAACTGCTTGGCCGTCATCCTCGCGGTCTCGTGGTCCTCCCTCGCGTGCTCCGCGGCGATGTCCGCCAGCTCAGCTTTGCCGCGCGCCGTGGCCGTCCTGCGGGGCAGAGAGTAATGTAGTACGAGTGTCTCAAAGAAAGAGAAGAAAATGATAAGGACAAAGGTGGGATTTGGACACTGATCTACGCCAGGTTGCTCGGCCGCCTTGCGTTTCTCCACAGATGGACTGTGCCGCAAAGCACACGTGCGGGCGGGTTGCCTACTCTTTTGGGCCGTAAGGCGCCATGGTCAGAGACGATCAGCAGACAAAAGGGACGAACGAGCAGGGCGTGCTGTGCACAGTTTGCGGGCCTGGCGAGCACACTGGCTGCCAGCTGTCCCCACCCACACCCACCTACCTCGAGATGGCGATGTCCGCCTTCTGGAGCGCGATCTTGGACGCGCGCTGCGCCGCCGACACGGCCGCGTCGATCCGCTCCCGGAACTTGGCCGACCGGATGAGGAACAGGTGCTTCTTCTTCTGGCTCGTGATGAGCACGTTGTTCTTGTACTTGCCCTCCTCCCGGGTGCCGTCCTTGAAGGTGGTCACGCCGTAGCCGTACTTCTTGTTGTTGAACCACTCGCCCTCGTAGCGCAGCCCGTCGGACCGCTCGCTCAGCCCGAAGCCGCTCCGCTTGTCGTTCTTCCACTCGCCCATGTACGTCTCGGTCACGCTCGCGTCCATGTGCTCGTCCTGCAACGTCGACACAAAGTTGTAGCACACGCGGGGCGCAGTCATTGAGGCTCCGTTTCCGTTTGCAAATGGCGCCATGATGCATTATGCGCCATTCTTTTGCAATCTAGCGAGCCAAATTAATACTGCAACCACGGTAGTGCCGCCATGCCATGGCTTACCTCTTCCGCGAGCTGAGTCCGCAAAGGGGAGGCAAGCAGGAACACAAAACAACTCGGGTAAGCAATAAGCGAGCAGACCGAACCACGCGGGGACGGGAACTCGAGAATGAGGAGAAGGAGGAGGGAGAGGCCCGCATGTTTGACGGACGAGCGCACCCCGCGCGAAAAGCAACAAGTCGCAAACAAAACAGGGCCGCCGGCGGAAAGCCGTCCTCTTTTATGGCCGAACAGTAGTCCCTTGCCCATAAGCCCGACCTTGCGCCCCTGAGGGTACGCGGAGTTGGAGCCCCCGGGGGGTGAAAAGGGGAAGGGGGGCTGACTGTATCGGAGGATTCTCCACGTTTTCCCGCGGCGCCGCGGCCACTCCGCCTTTTGTGTCGTCAACCTTCGGGAAACCCCGCGGCAGCGTCCAGCCCCCCCCCC